GGTCGCCCGGAACCTGGAGCTGGGACAGAGGCCGAGACGCGGTGAGTGCCGTCCGGAGCCCCCGCGGGAAAAGCTGCTGGCCCCAAGCCGAAGCTCCGCGCGGCTCCGTCCTTCGGCTCCCAGCCACCCGTGCCCGCGACAACGGCCACCAGGACCGCACATTGGAACGCTCCCCGCCAACACCTACCAGACGCCGACGTCTCGGGCCGCTTCGGGACCACCGCTTTGCTTCCGCTGCCCCGGGGAGAGCCGCAGTCACGGAGCTGACGGGCGACACCACTCGCGCTAACGACGAAACCACTCTGCGCTCCCAGTGCCCCGACGCCTCCCCCTTTATACCCACGCTTCACGCTGCGTCCGTGCGTCACAAGCTTCTCATTTACATACACCAACGACCTTGTCTATTGGCTGACGCGTTCGCCGACGCGCTGACATCCCCCGACACAAAGGCTGTGCTTCGGCCCTGTTCCCTGATTGGTGGGCATCTAGACTACTGATTGGCTGGTAAAGTCGCATGCTCATTGGATAGATGCAAACAGAAATGGACGAATCAGGGTTAGCACAAAAGAGCTCCTCTGATTGGATGAAATGGAGCTATGTTTGGATCCTTCCCTTGGTTCCAAAGCTCTACAATAGAAAGTCAATGCAAATGAATTGTATTGGTCCCAAGCTGGGTGGGTTTAGAGAGTCCGGCCGGGCACGGTTTAAGCTTTGTGCCATCAAGCTTATGCGGTGCAGAATGAGAGAGCGTTTTAACCAACTGTTTTGGTTAACTTTTCCTATGTAAAATAAAATGGTTTTGTTAAACTTTCATAAGATTTTGAGAGCTAAATTAAGAGTAGAAATGAGAATTCGAATTCAGTAACATGTTATCTTACCAAATATTTTGTGTATTATGTATATACATCTAAGCCAAGAAGCAATTCTTTTATTGGTGGGGTGAGTGGTAAAAAGAAAAAGATGTCAATAATTGAGTTTTCAAGTTGTTTTGTATGTTGGTAGGCTATATCACAAAATACTTTGTAATTTTTGTAACCTTAAGAGTTAAACAAGCAGTAACCTGCTAAACAACATGTTTCTCTAATTACGTAATTCAATTGAATGAAACTATTGGGCAGAAAGGGAATTGTCCTACTACAGCATTTGCTAAAAACTAAAGGGAAGATAACTGCATTAACTGTATGACCTTGTGTTTAATGGTGGGTCTTGGCCTGTATTACTTCTGAGGTAACAGGGCAAATGCATGCACATGTTAATGCCTACCTTTGCCTAAATAAATGGAGTGCAATACAGCAGTCAGTTCTGAAGATGATTCCGGTTTATAAAATCCCAAAGCAGACTTCTTAAGCACAGCCCAGGAAATTGAAATAGAACCTTGAGCATTCTGCTCCATAGACCCTATTTAGAGCCCATTGATTATTTTGTAATATTAAAATAAAAAGCAGAATCAACTACATATAGATGTCAGCTTAGAGAATTACTGCCCAGAAGCACAGTGATTTTAATATTTACTCGCCACACCCTGGTTATCAGTCGTGGGAGGACTGAGATATGGCAGGAATGGCCGCTTGATGTGGAGGCGTTGAATAGTTTGTTACCCGTGGGAGCTGCCAAGGCCAGTTGTGAGAAATTATTCCTAAAGTTAACACTAATACTTTCTTATTTGAGAGCCTCCGTGGCTTAAGCCGAGGAGCCCTGGTGGCATAGTGATTATACAGTGGGCTGTAAATCTCAAGGTCTGTAGTTCAAAGTCACCAACCAATCTGGGGAAGTGGGCCCTTCTACCTCCGGTAAACATTTACAGTCTTAGAAGCTCACAGGGGCCAGTTCCATCATGCCCTTAGAAGGGCTGTGCGTCAATACTGACTCGACGTGGCAGTGAGTTTGGTTTGGTTTTGGTATGGGGCAAAACAGACCGATCTTGCTGTGCTAGGTGTAGAAAAACAAAATTGGGGGAGAATTAAAAAAAAAAAGACTTTGAGTCCAGCAGAGATGTTTTCTTTAGCTCCGTTGGAATTTTCAGGTAGTCGTGTGTGTTCAGAAAATGGCTTGTATTTTTGAGTTGATAGTATGATAAAGTTAACTGGAAAGCAGGTGTTGTCAGCTATCCGGAAGGAGACACGATTTCAGTGTCTCCACTGATACCCTTCTGTGTGAGAAGAAACAACTTGGCACAGAAATGCCGTTGGTCCAGTCTCTGGTATTGAATTTCTCGTTTTCAGCCTTGCTGCGTAAAGCTAAGAAGAAAGGTTGTTCATGAATCATATAAGAGGCTGTCACATGCTCTGGAATGTGACCGGTGATATTCTGTCATCTTTGAGTGTCCAGGAGAAAGACCAGATTCCTAAATTAATGTTCCACAGTTTTTTCTTAGGGACCCATGCTTTATCATTTCTACACCTCCCACGTTTGGGACAGCCCAGTTACTTTTCTCTCAGTTTGGGTCATTATTAGAGAGGAACCAACATTGTTCCGGGAGACACAGGTGGCAATTTGCACTATGAAGTCAAGCAATGACTTTAGGAAATCATCCCTCCTACTCCCTCTTCCTTGACAGTGAGGCCCCGACAAAGCCCTAAACCTGCTACCATCCTGTGATTCCGACTCATAGTGGCGCTCTACAACAGAGCCCGGTCCTGTAGCAGCCTCACAATTGTTTGTATGTCTGAGCCCCTTACTGCAGTCACTGTGTCCCTCCATCTTCCTGAGGGTCCTTCTCTCTTCACTGCCTTTCCACTTTACCATGATCTACCTCTATTATTTAAAATCTAACGCTGTGTATTTATCTTGAGTCAAACCACACTCGGGTGTTTGCGGGATAACACGTGGTCCTGCAAAGCACTTCACATTTTAGCCACGCATAGTCTTGTAACTCCCACACGATGGTTGGGTGGAACTATGTAAATCAAGTGTTTCTGACCTACCAAGGGGATTAGACAGCTTGCTAAGAATTCAAATCAGGTGTCTAGGACCTCTGTGGGGGTGGACCATGCAAAAAAAAAAATGGTGTATGGAACCTTCAGGAGAGGATTGATGGGTCAGTGTTGCCCTTGTACTAGGGTTAAAAGCGTCAATCCCAGAGCAGAGGGGGCACCTCACTACTATTAAGAGAGAAGCAGGTGTTGAGCATGTCCTTTAGATCCAGGGCCCCTGAGAACCTGCTAGATCCAGAAGATTGGGCTGTAACCTCTGACTGGCACAAGAGCAGCAGTGTGAGGGAATAGCAGCAGCCCAAGTCTAGAAAGAGATAGTGTGGTGGGCTGTCCTGCTTTGAATAAAGGAGACAGCTTCCGACTACTGATCCTGATCTTAACATTAACCTTCTACTTCCTTAATAAACCACGGAACTATGAGTAGTGTCAGTTCTGTGCGAGCATTGCAACAAATTAATGAACCCAGCATAGTCGTATATGCAGTGGGTTGCTGGTGTTCCCACCCTCACCTCCTCCCTCCAAAAGCCACACCCACTGCTGGAGAGTCAATTCCACCTCACAGGGACCCTATAGAATGGAGCTGTATCTCTCTTTTTTAAAAAAATAATTTCACTGGGGGATCATACAACTCTTACCACAATCCATCCATCCACCCATTGTATAAAGCACATTTGTACATTCGTAACCCTCATCGTTTTCAAAACATTTGCTCTCCATGTAAGCCCCAGGCATCAGCTCCTCAAAAGCTGTCTCTCTTTACAGAAGCTGACCACATCTTTCTCCACTGGAGCCGCTGGCCGGTTCAGACTGCCAAGCTTTCAGTTAACAGCGCAAGGCTTAACCCACTACATCGCTGGCTGGACAGAGGAGGTAGGTCTGCCTTCCTCCTCAGATGGATGATAGTGACTCTCTTTCCCCTTTTGACGGTGGAGGCAGAGGGCCATGTCAGGATGCCTTTTTTTTTTTAACAACGTGTAGATGAACTACGTGCACGTAATAAACAGGATTCAAGCAATACAAGGCAGCTTTTCTTTTTAAAATTTTTTTCAAATAGATATTTTAAATCATTTGGGGCAGCTTTTCTTTCGGAAGTTTTCATCTTCAAAGGCCTGCTCAGGAAATACCAAGTTCTCAACTTTATAGGCTGATGAGTTGGCTACTGGTGCGGAACTAAAGAAGTGTGTCAATTTTACAATCTCCCACTCATCCCATTCGCTGACCCTCTAGGGCAGTGGTTCTCAACCTGTGGGTCAAAACCCCTTTGTGGGTCGAATGACTCTTTCACAGGGGTCGCCCGATTCATAACAGTAGCAAAATGACAGTGATGAAGTAGCAATGAAAATAATGCTATGGTTGGGGGGTCACCACCACATGAGGGACTGTATGAAAGGGTCTTGGCATCAAGAAGGTTGAGAACCAGTGCTCTAGGGTTATTGGGCTAGTCCTTCTTGCTTAATGAGAGAATCCTCAATTAACATAATCCTAGCTTAAAATGTAAATTGGTCTCGAAAATGGTGTATTTGTAACAGAGTCAATATGAAAAGTCAAACATGTTCATAAAATAATTTTTTAAAGCTTTTAAAAGAAAAAAAAAGTTTTATTGGCATTTCATCCACATATCATACAATAGTTCAATCATACCAAGAAGAGCTGTACAATCATTACCACAAACAATTTTCGATTCAAAGGTTTTTGAAGGCTCACGGAATCAGGTGGCTAGGTTGGGGGCTGCTGGCTTTATACTACGAAGGCCACAAAATGAAGAATCCACTTGACAGGCTGGCAGGAAGTGGGGAGGGGAAGGCACATTCTTTTCACAGAGAGGCTGGTCTCCAGAGAAGGGTAAGCCACACCCACTCACACATCTGCCCTTCGTCTGACCACCACTGGAAGGCTTTGCAGCCTGCTTGCAGTTTGCCAGCGTGGGTACCTGAGCCTCTACTAGAGGCAGATTAAATTCATCCTTGGCTCCTGATGTACTGGAAACAAGATGGTCAGGTCAGGTGCTGACCTGAGAACAGACTCAAGCTGTGGAGTTGCAGTTTCAGGATTAGGAAAGGCTGATGGATGAGTTCAGCTAGTAATCGAAAGTTTGGGAGCTCGAACTCCGATGCTCCCCAGGGAAGGGGACAAGACCTGGCGGTCTGCTTCCACAAAGATGAACCAAACTGGTTCGCCTCAAAGATCTTAACCTCAAAGATTTAGGGGATTCTGACTCATAGGGACCCTATTAAGACCGAGCAGTACTGCCCCATAGGATTTCTATGGTATCAATTTTTATGGAAACACACGGCTACATTTTTCTCCCACGGAGCAATGGGCTGATTCCAACCACCTTAGGCACTGCACTAGGGCTCCTCCCATAAAGATGACAACTTAGAACCCCCTACGAGGCAGTTCTACTCAGTCTCATGAGGCCACTACCGAATCAAAAACCCACTGGACAGCACGCAGCAGCAAAGCTTACTGAGCGCCTCAGAGAAGGCGCAGCAAAGTGGTAATTGTAGAGAACTACTTCCTTAGCAAAGAAAGCCGTTTCATGCTGCCCTCCAGCAGGTTCCCAGGTAGTCCTTCTGCAGGGAAAAAGAGAAGGGGGTGGGGTGGAGTGGTCCTCTAGTACAAAGGCCCACAGCTAATTAGGGACAATAACGGTCTTTTATTGCTTGAGGCATTGCTCTGAGCTGGCTTTAAAACAGCCAAGCAGTTCCCAGTAAGAAGCTCAATAATGCCAGGTAATTAGTTCTTCACTAGCAGTGAAATTACACTTGAACTATTTCACCTAAGTTGTCAGGGCATCTTTAGCTCCTGGGCTGCTGTCAATTACGTGAGCTGTAGTTTCAAGAAATGGCTACCCTAAACAAAAACAAACAAAACCAAAATCCCAAACCCATTGCTGTCTAGTCAGTTCCGACTCATAATAGCAATCCTAAATATTTCCAAGGTAGACTGCCATATAGTTCTCCCTCTGGTGTAACCGAACCGTCAACCTTTCTACTAGTAGCCACGCACTTAACCAATAAACAACCACGGCTCCTTAAGACTCCGCTGCTGAAGTGCGCGGGTAAGAAGATGCGACCGGACTGCAATCCCCAGAAGCCGTCGCGGAACCTCAGCATCCGGGGCACCATGCGCACCGATCCCTGGGTATTGTGGTCTTTTCCTTTGGCAGCAACCCTCTGCCGACGGTAAAATTCCAGCTCGGCGGCGGACCACAACTCCCAGCAGCCCTTGCTGTGGTGCGGGGGGTCTTCACGTTCTCGTGGCGCGGCGCAGGCGCGCTGGGTCCTCGGCGCGGACCGCGCAGACTGAATAATAAAAGGGGAGCGGCGAAGAGACAGGAAGACAGGACCATGTCGAAGGGCCCCGGGCCCGGCGGCTCCGCAGCTTCCTCGGCGCCCCCGGCCGCTACCGCTCAGGTGCTGCAGGCGCAGCCCGAGAAACCGCAGCACTACACGTACGTAGAGCGCCCCCCTCCCGCCGCGCGCGCACGCCTGACGTCAGCGGCCAGCGTGAGTCACGCGCGCAGGGAGAGCGCGAGGCGGCGTCTCCCTCCCCCCCCCTTCCTCCTCCGGCCCGGCCCAGCCCGGTTCCCACCTGCTGGGGCCGGTCCCAACCACCTCCAACTGCCACCAACCTCGGGTCGGGCTGCGGGCGGGAAACACGGGGCCGGCCGCCGAGTGGGGCAGGCGGGAGCTGGGGTGTGGAGCGCTCACACGTTAGGGCGGGCTCTCGAGGCCTAGCCGTGCCTCCGACCAGAAAGCCACAGGAGCGGGCATTTGGGGGGCCTGGCCATTCCGGGAGACGACCGAGATGAGTGCGACAGCCGCCCGCCGTCGAGCCTCCGCTTCCTGACGGGGAGCGCGACGGCCTGTCGGGAGACCCCGCGCGTAATGTGCCCAGGCGGCCTTTTGTGTCCCGAAGGCCCGGATGTCGGCGTCGGTGGTAGCCACCTGGCTTAGGTTCGCTTCCAACAGATGACTGATAAGCAAAGAGAATCACAGGGCGCCACCCCACAGGGACTCATTTGGCCCGACCCGACGTCAGGGGTCCCCTAGAGCAATGGGGGTTCCGAGTGTGCCCGCAGGCCCCTGAAATGAGGGGTCCGAGGGAGCCCCCGTGGCTAACACTTGGAGAGCCCAGAAGATGGAAAAGCGCTTCCTTGGGCAATCTACCGGAGTCCAAGTATAGGTCTCCGTATTTTGTTTCCCCCAACTCGATATTCTCTTCAAGCACGATAACTCACGGAGCCCGGCGTGGTGGGAGAAAGAAAAGAAAAAAGTGGTGAGCCCTCTTGTTAGAGCAAAAGCTGGTGTGCCCTTTCCCCTGATGTTCGTGGGCACCTCATCTCCATGGGGGGTTCCCGAGTGAGGAGTAGAGGAGGACCCCCGACCGACTGCCCCTCAGACCCGCTGGGGCTTGTGGAACCTGTGGGCCTAACACCCCCAGGATGCCAGCTGGCGAGCCAAGAGCAGGAAGCGTCTGTAGGAGAGAACTGAAAAAGGAGTCAGGAAGAGGGTTCTCTTGGTTGACATCACCTACACCAGTGTGGCCATCAGAAAAGCCATTGTGGAATTGGGGCATCGATTGTAGGAACTGTATTGGTTTCTCTGGAGGCCCCTCTCTCTGCCACTGACCAAAATCCGTGGAGGCTTTTCCTTGACTGGTGGTTGGCGGGAGGCGCCGGGGGAGGCCGACTCAACTGTTGACTATCTGGTTGATGTGCTGTTGTTTGCTGGCCATTTCCGCAGCCCTTTGATTGGTTTCGGGACATGGTTTTAGTTTTGAGAAGGGCGAGTTGAATGATGTCTTGCCGGAGCAGCTGTGCCATGCTGATTTGGAAAGGTGGCAGGGATTTCAGAAAAATCTGCCTCACCTTTTGAGTTGTGTGAATCTCATTTTTAGCAACCTGTGTTTACCAGTGACCGTGGTATTCAAACCACGGCATCTGTAATTGGACCGGCCTTCTGGTCATTTTGGAATTGGCAGATGGAGCAAGCCAACTCAGTGTTGCTGTGTTTGAAAGCCATCTTTCGATTCCCCAGGTCTCAGCAAACCAACGGGAGTCGATGAAATGACCAAGCTTGATGGAGGTGTAGGCATTCCTCTCAGTTTTGCTCATCTCTGTGTTTTTTGTTGTTCTTATCTCTTTCTCCTCCAACATCAGAGCCAGGTGTCCATTGCCTGCCTTTGTAGACGGGCATTCGGAAGCTGTGGGCATCTGGAAAGCATCCATGCTCTGGCCATCTCAGGTCTGAGGAGCAGGAGGATACAGACAGTGGCACCTGTTTGGTGGCTCCAGTATTTTATTTTTGGTGGTGAGCCCATCTGTTGTTGGGGCAGCAGGAACATTTTGATTTTGACTTCAATCAATAAAATTTGGAGCTGCTGAGCATGTTTTTTTTTTTGTCCATTCTCCCCAAAAGCAGAACTGGCTCCAGTCTGAACATGGTCTGAATCTACTGCACCGAACACATTGTTGAGTACAGAATGTAGACCTCTTTTAAGGAAGGCTGCATTTTTTTCCCCACCTGTCATAAAAGTGGACTTGGGCGCACATGAACTGCATGGCATTTGTGGGTTTTAGAGATCAGAGAGGATGTGGTGTGCAGTAGCCTGGCAGAAGCTGGTGTTGTCGTTGTTTCTCACCCATAATGGCAGACAAGGCTGGAAAACACAGCTGACTCCACCAAAGGCCAAACTTGCCTTCTGGGATGTTTGCCTGCGGTTCTTGTCCTTTACTCTTGTGCCACAACCCAAGTATTGGAGTTGGAGCCTTCCTGTTCCTAAGCCAAGAGGATGGATTATTCACGACACAGCTGGAAGGAGAAATGGTTTTGATGGCATTTTCTCCTCAACTCTTGAACAATCTTGCTTTTACGGTATTTTAACTTGCTTGAAGCAAACCGGTTGTGGCAGGCACTTGAGCTAGGCCTGCGGCCTACACCCTCTTAGGAAACCCTCAACTCCTATCTGACTTCTCTCCCTTATACAGCTCCGAGTAGCAGTCAGATGATTATATGTATGCATTAATAATCTGACAACACAAGAGCTAGATGAACTCTTGGCTTTTTGTTAGACAAAAACGGAGTTTAACCCAGCTCTCTTCAGAGAAAGTCCACCTGGTATATGATAGGACTTTTATAACTCACTGTAGAATGAGAACACCTAGAACTATACCTCTGAGTTTAGCAAATGTTTGGGGTTTTGTTGCATGACATATTAAAAGTTTACAATGGGAGGAAGGTCACAGAAAAACTGCCATCTATAGAGTTTGATCCCTTAAGAGGGAGTATACCCCGAGACATTACATTGTTTTTCAATTCCTGCAATTGCAGTTGATCCTCAGGCTATTTACTCCCCTTAAAAAGAAAATGAAATTCACAGAAATTTTTGGAGATTTCTGGCAACCAGATAATTTCCTTTAGGTAGGAAATATGCTTCCTTCCTTGCTAGGCTTATGATATCTTGCTCATTACAGCCTCATTTACACCACCATCCGTTTAACTTGACTATTTCCTGAGACTCTAAACAAGGATAGCAAAGCAGTGCTTCCACAGATAGCGATTCTGAAGAAAATTTGTGTATACACAACGTGAGTGCCATGAACGTTACTTGATTGCATCTGATTGTGTTTGGGGAAATCTAGGAAATGAACCTGTACTTAAAGTGATCATTGCAGGTTGCCGTGACACTGTAAACAGTAGAGCACAGCATGTGTTGCGCACCAGAAGTTATTGGAAGCGTTACTTAGCAACCCCAGTGAGGATGAGGGGAAGTGTCCATAAACATTTATTTTGTATCTCATCCACTTGTTGATCAAAGAAAGGGAATTTTCTTCCAGGACAGAAATGAAGGGCTCCCCGGGGGCACTCCATCCAGGCCACAAAATGGCCATTACTCTATGTGACAGCACCCCGGGCTAAGAGTAGTCTTAAAGTTGAGCGCCTAGTTGGTATTTGCTATAATCTAAACTAACGAAGTTGAGATTTGCTTAATGGTTAAGATTTTGTGTTTTGATCCAGCTATGTTAGATACTAAAGAAGGCTGCCCCACAATCCACATGCATCTGCTTTGCCTGATGGCTTCTGTCAACCTCCAAAGACTGACTTACTGGTGACACCTCTGAGAGCACCACACTTAGCGCAATCCGTCTTGGGCACACGCTAGGAAGGAGCGCCTTCTGGACATAGCACCTCAGATAAGTGCACAAAAGCAAGACACCCTCGTGGACTTCCTCCTCCCGCTCTCCACACCCTGACGCCTGAAGGTGAGGCCTCCTTCCTGTGTGTTGTAGAAGCCCTGAGCACGCTTAGGTCACTAGATCTCTGCCACTGGCTGAGGCGCACACACCTGCAGCCAGGCTGGCCTGACCTTTGCAGACCCTCGAAGTCTTCCTCATGGGGAGAGAGCCTTGGTCTAAAGAGTGATGGGACTCAGACTGCCTTGAAAGCCACAATACCTTAAATGGTGCATTGATCTAGCGACTGTTTACCAAACCGGGCAAGAGTTGATCAAGCTTTTTGTTATTTTTTAAATCTAGCTATGCTTGAAACTAAAGGAGGATAGTAGTAGTGTTTTGAAATTACAAGTGTGAACCGTTAATAGCTAATCCTAGTAGATTCTCTTCCCTTCTTTGAACCTCTTGGATGAATTTGGGGCACGCTAATGTGTTATGTGAAGATGGATGTTGAATGTGAGTTTGCCTGCTGTTCTCAATTAATATTTAGACACTGCATTAGCCTAATTGCTAAAAAAATGCTAAGAATTTGAGCTTAGTCTCCTTCCAGACAACATAGCTTTCTTGTTTTCTCACTATATAGATGCTCTGTAGATTCGCCCCAAGCCAGCCATCTTGACATACCTGCCTGGGCAGCAGAGAGCTCTGGAGAAAGTATGGGTGAAACGATGCTATGGTAATAGGTACGGGGTTTCTCTGTGGGCTAAGGGAAATGGTCTGGAATTAGCTAGGAGTGATGGTTGCGCAACTTGGTGATTATGTCCTACAATACACTGCAGCGCACACTGTAAAGGGTCACTTGTAAACAAAAGGCTAGAGAACAACCACCGTACAGATAAGCCCTTCCTACTGGAGAGGGAGGCCTGCGGTCCCCAGGGCTCAGCAGCCAGGCTCAGTGGGGGCCCGCCTGCAGTTTGCGTAAAGCTCTTGGCCATCCCGTTCCAGCCTTCGCTCACATGGCTCAGCACTCTGGTCAGTCTCGGGGGGCTGCCCCCCACCCCCACCCCAGGTAGCTCTGCAGGGGTGCTTTTTGAGATAAGAAATACTTGCTCTCAGCACGTTTGAGACTCGCAAGTGGTTGGTAGTTGTGCCCTAAATTGTCTCAAGATTTAAAATGAACAAGCAGATTGGCTCTCGTGAATTGTTCCAATGAGCCCTGTTGACATCTGGGGGTGGGAGGTGGGAGAGGGTGCTGCCCTGCTAAGCAGTAACCAGTTCTGTTCTTGAAGTGTAGTGCGAGGGTCTTGAGGCTCACATGGGGTCTTTCTTGGAGGACCAGCCATGTGGTTTAGGCTGTACTGCCTTAGTTCAAATAATCACAAGGGTTTTTATTATTCTCCTATAAGATCCCTCAACTTTCACTCCTTTTTTCTTTGCCAGTGTGTAGAGTTTGACAGCAGTATCGAGCTGAGGAGGAGAAGATGGAAAGGAGTCTAGCAACTTAAAATCTCATAGCGTTCTCTGTGAGGTGACCTTTCTCCTGTTGGTGGCTCAATCTATTTACGAGAGAAAGAAGATGCTGAGGTCTGGGACAGTGTCACTGGGTCATGTCTGAGCTTATTGACCGTTTCCCCTTTTCCATATTCTTACGATCATTTGCTTTATGTGTTCGTACACGGACTCATTTGTTTTGTTTCTTATTGAGACATAAAGTACCACATGGCCATTGGAAGTTCTGATGAAATAACTTTACGCCTCTGTCCTAAAACAGTGGCCTGCCCGTAAAACTTCAGAGAGAAAGTTGATGAAAACTCTTGTTGTGGTGTTTTATGACTTGAAATTTCAAGTACTCCTTTTTATCTTAAGCGTTTGTTAAGTTTGATGAGGACTTTACAGCTGACCTTGATGTCACTCCGTGGCAGGCTTGTGGTGGCCTGTCACGAGTGGACCTGCCGGAGCAAACTTGTGCAGACCTATCAAGAGCTGGAGATCAGTGTTTTCTCCTGAAGGACAAAGTAGCAACATTTCACTCCCTAACCGGAGTACACTTGCTAATGAACCCATAAATAAACATCCCCTAGCATGTCTGAAGATGTCACTTGGCTGTTTTTATTGTAGTGCCTTCTCACACAGACGGTGCTGTCATTCTGGCCTGCCCAAGCCTGCTCCCTGATGTCCTCTAAACGACTTGGGAAGAGCCTCTTAGGCTTAGCTGGTATGACCCTTGCTTTTCCGTCAGCGTGACCCCTGAAAGCTAGTGAAGAGCCAGCCCGCGCTGGCTGAGAGCCCAGGCCCCGGATTGCCTGCGGCGCGTGAAGCCCAGCTCTGCCACACGACGAGGTGTGTGATCTTGATCGTGGCAGGCGGCTTCCGTCTCACCGTCAGTTTCCCAAGGACACCAGAACACCTGTCTCAACAGGTGGTGAGGAGGGATGCTTGCACCCCTCTATGTAAAGTGCTTATTAGCCCCGTGTAAGTATTATCCGCATCAATATTTGAACAGTCTTATTTTCAATTACACTGCGTCCTTCAGCCACCTTCGCCGGATGCCCTTTACAGCTGCATCTGAGCTAAATTTGACGGTCCCGCTCACCGGCACACCGGTCAGTGTCTATTCATAGCAGCCCCCAGGGCAGGGGAACCTGCTCCACCAGGTCTCCAGGGCTGGGAGTCCTCCCAGCAGTAGGTGGCCGCATCCGTCTCCCGAGGAGCATTGGGGAGTTTGAGCTGCTGTGCTCCCGGGGCCTCACATTTTGTAAAGCCCCCACCTCAGTCTGTCTCGAACAAGACTCATCTATGTCTGCTCTCAGAAGACCAGATGCTTTGTTGTACAAGGTAACACAGTAATCTAGATGGACATAGTAAAATGTTCATAAAACTAAAGGTGTTTAAGGTGGCTGTGCCAGAGTGAATATAGGTAAATTTTGAATAAAGACAAGGTTTTGCCTAATTTAGGGGGAAAAGAAAGAGCTATGTTCTACAGTGAGGTGAATGGCCCCTACATAAACTTTTTCTCCTCAGCTTCAACTCTTAAGGTCCTTAGGGCAGGGGACAACTACAGAAAGAAGGGGCAGCAGAAACTAGTTTGCACACCAGCATTGTATCATCTGGGGCTCTTGTGAGTTCTTGGGGCCAGGACAGCTCACAGGTGTCAGCTCATTTCCACTGAGCCCCCAAGAAGTGGGCTAATACCATTTGCCACGAGTGACTCCCCACGTTACAGTTAGGTGACTGTGGGTTCTTGTACATGGGTCTGGGCATTAAGGTGCGTTAACTGCCTCTGAGAAATCTTCTGGCCAGAAAGCTTTTTCTGTCCACGCTTTGGCTAATGACCAGTTACAGGACCAACGCCTGACCTGAAGTTTCAGACACATTCGGAAGTTCTCTGTCTGTCTGAAGAATACTCACTGTCAAGGCGCCAGTGTTTGGAGACTGTTGTAACCCTGTATCACCTCAGAAGATGTGCACCCCAAGGCCTCGTGGCTATAGAGCAGTTTATCAGAATCCAAGTGTTCGTCAGTGTCTAAGTTTTATTCGACCTTTTTAAAAAAGTTTTTTTAATAACTCCCACCTGTGTGGTTATTATAAAGTTATCGTTTCCAGGTCATGTCTGGTGTCAAACCATAATGTTTATGTCTATATGAATATTGAATCTGCTGGTAGCTCTGGTTCTTCAGAATTGGAAGATTTCCATCAGGCAGGAGAAATATGCACATGATCAGACATTGTAGACAGGGACATCGTCTCCAAGTTAAGGTCTTTTATTCTGAAACTTAAAAATGAATTTTTTATAAACCACAAACTAAACTCTGGCTAATTTGGCTTTAGGAACATTTTACAGGGAGGAAAAGCAGTAGGCAGTAAGTTAAATAAAACAGTGTCATAGATAAGTGCGTTTTGGTCCTTGGGATGCTATTACAGAATCTTCCATGGTAGCACCTCCCTCTTTGGGCATTGAAGGATCCTGATACATTGTTGTGAATTTCAATAAAAGTTACTTAGAAACAGGCCCAGCTCCTGTGTTTCAAGGTTCCATTTCCATGATAAGGCTCATATTTGTTTAAAAGATGACATCCACATAGCCAAGAACGGCCGTCCTGGAGTTGAATGTTGGTGCTGGGTTTAGGATGTGGGCAAGTCTGTCAAGGTGTCGGTTGCTGCTGGTTACTATGCAGGCGCCCCACCCGAACAGGTGCCTCCTGGTGCTTGAGAGCCCATCGGGCCCCTCCAGCTGTAAACCCAAGCCCATGCCTTTCTCCCAGGCTGAGGGGCATCTGGATGGACCTGATGTCAGTCAGTCCTCCCTTCTTGCTGGGATTCACCAAGTCCTCAGCAGGCCCAGTGGTGCAGCCCCAGCCCCCTTGTTGGTTTGCCACTGTCTCCACAGGCCATCATCTGTGATGGGACCGTTCTCTAGAGTGTCAAAGCCAGGTGGTACAAATCCTCAACAGTTCCTCACGGGCCAAACATCTGCCACAGTTAAAAGAGATGGACCGACAGCTACACAGCCAGTGTAATCTTAGAGCAGAGCAGACTGCCTGCCAAGCTTTCCCTAACGGCGTGGATTTCTTTCACTGCTAGCAAAGTGTGAGAGAGAGAGAGATGCATGCTGGAAGTCATTACAGTGAGCAATGAAAAGACATAGCAGCCAGTGAAATCACCAACAGTAGAGAGCTTTCCTCCCAGGATTTCTCTGTGTGTGGTACATACTTTACATGTGTTCGTGTAATGTGCCTTTGGTTTAACTTGTCCTAAGACCCCTTAGCTTTTGGAGGAAATGGAAAAAGGACTTTGGTTCTTTGGGAGTGTTCTCTGCCTGTTCCTCAGAGCAAAGCCCCGTCCAACCAGCTGGCCCATTGGTGTTTTTTCTGCTCTGCATGTGGGGCCAGTGGACTAGATGTTATTGCCCAGAGAGTGGGACAGGCTGAGCAGACGTTATATGGACGGAAAGCAGAGAACATGCTGGCTTTGTAACTGCCTGGAGAACTCTAGAAACATCTGGCGACTTATTTGCTAGGTTCATGGACAACTGCTGTTTAACAGCTCACATCTTTTTATGCTGTTGCTTTTCCTCAGCGAGCCCTGGCCTTGGGCTACAGCCCCGAGGCTCCAAACAAGGCAGCCAGTGCCACACCTGCTGAATTCCCACAGTGCAACGTTTCAAGGGAGAGGCGGTGACCCAATACCATTGGGTGGGCCAGGGGACCCCTCAGGGCAGCAAAGCAGAAGGGTGTTCAGATCAAGGGGGCACTGTGGTGGAAAACGTGCACTGGAAGGCAGTCTGATGTTTTGGGGAATGCCAGCCCTGTAGAGCCGCGTCAACAGACTCTGGCCTTGATGTCAAATTCAACCACCACCTGCTTTCCCAGTGTACTGTAGTTTGTTTTCATGGTTAAACGGCAAATCAGGAGAGTATTTCAGGACACACGAAGTTTTCAGTTTTCCTGAATTTCTGTTGGAGCCCCTTGAGCGCATTCCCGCTCGGAGCTACACGGCCGAAGGAAATGTAATTGAGACCTGCTGCAGCGTGTGCTCCATGTCCCAGGGACGCAGTTGTTTCCGGGCAGGACTTCCTGCGCCATGTGCTTGCTGTTCACTCTCCACCCCAGTGCGGTCCTCCCGTCGGGGGTGGGTTCTCTCGCTGTCTGTCAAGTCAGAGGCATAGCGCTGGTTTCTTGGGCAGTGACTCTCGCTGGGCTGAGCTGCCAGGAAAGCCGAAGTCAGAAACATGGGAACGTGTAACCAGGGACCGGACCGGCACAGTGGATGTTCTTCTCGGACCTCTCTCTGAGTGCTGACCTGTTAGCCAAGCGAGGAAAGCCCTTGCCCCACGCCCAGTTGATGGACTAGTGTTGACTGCTGCAGCTCAAGAAGCCCAGCCCCAGAAAATCTGAGCCTTCGAGGCCACCAGCCTTTGCAACAAGATCAGGACACCACATCCACAGGCAATTAGAAAAGTAGCCCGATGATTTTGTGTGGTTTCCCAAGGTGCTGATGAGTCAGCCTGGGTTTGGGTTACCATGGTTCCGTACTGTGGCATCTCAAAGTGACAAAATTGGCCTACGAGGAATAGAGGTGCTGACAGGTGCGAGGACATGCAAAGACAAAGGAAACCGAATCCAACCTAATTGAAATGTCACGGTTGACGGTGTGGCGCAGGGCACATGAGTGGACAGACTGACGAGGCTTGGGGAGAGGCAAGGGGCTTGAGCCTATCATTCAGTGGGTCACTTATCAGCAGGTGCTCTGTGGGACGTTTTGTCCCCTTGTTACCGACTAGTGTCACCAACTTTGGTCTCTCGTGGGCTTGAGCATGCTTGGATCCCTGCGTTCTGGACAGAAACAGAAGCAGGATATCTTGACTCGCCTGCTCGCAGCAGATGGGTGTCTTAGTGGTCAAACTCAAAGAACTCCCTGCCACACAGCGACCCATTAGGACAAAGTAGAACAGCCCTGGCGAGTTTCCTAGTCTATCTCTTGATGGGAGTCGAAAGCCTCGTCTATCCTGCTAGCAATGGTAAAGTTGTTTGCCGTTCTCTGAGCACGTTGAATGGCTCTGGAAGTTCACCGTGGCTGCAGACTTGATACTGTTTCTGGGTGAAGGCAATGTCACATTGGGTAAAAGAGATGCTGTCATTTTGGCAGGGATGACTCTCCACAAGTCATGTCCAGCCACTTTCTGTACATGTCCTGTACTGTCAGAAATTCAAGCCTGCAAGCCTGTTAGGGAGAGAAGTTTCCATGTCTGCACTGGTTCTAACAAGCCAAACTCAAGTGCCATTGAGTCGATGCTGATTCATAGCAACCTTGTAGGATGGGGTAAAACCACCCCTATGGATTTCTTAGATGCAGCTCTACAGGAGGAGGGAGCCCCATCATTCCCCCAGGGGTTTCCAATGGCTGGCCCTGTGGATACCATTAAGCTACCAAGGCTCCCCTGGCTTGGCGTGCATTTTTTTGGTCTTCGGTGTATGCAAAGAAAATTTCCCTATTGCAAACTCCTAGGGTTAAGGAGTTTCCACCTTATCTCTGGTAGAAAGTGATTAAAAGGCAAGTGTGGGGACAATAGGGACATTCTGAAACTGCC